CTCATCAGGAACAGTTCTAAAGGAAGATGATACAATGATTGTGACATTTTATGAGGTTCTGATTTCATTGTACAACGTTTTGTGGACAAACATGGACTCTATCTATCCTGTTGGAGCTTATAGTTGAGTAGGGAAGGTAGTCTTTAATCTGATAATTACGTAGACTGTATAGGGAGCAATGGAGATCTGATAATGATTGAAATGCAAAGGATAAGGAGTTAAGTAGGCTTGAGGAGTAGAGGAATAGTCCAGAGAAGTGAGGAGGAATGTTCCAGGTTTGGGAATGACATATTCAAAGGCCCTGTGGTAGATGGGCATGATATGTTTGAACTGAAAGAAGCCCAGCCTCTCTGGAGCACACAGGGGCCAGAGGTGAGAATGTTCCAAAGGGGACGGGGTCAGGGCCATTCATGCATTATAGGCCATATAAAGGGTTTTGGTCTTTAGCCTAAAAGCAATGAGAAGCCATTAAAGTGTATCTTCAACAGGGGCAGGACATTTTCAGTTTCAAATTTTTAAAAGATCATTTTAATTGCTGTGTCTGGTCTTGGGTGCTTGAGGTTGGGTTGAGAACAAGAGTGGGTGCATAGTATAGTCCAATTAAGAAACCAATGTAATTGTCTAGGTTAAAGGTGTTGGTATTTTGGGCCAAGGCAGTGGCAGTGCCAAAGATGGGAAGACTTAGACATATATGAGAGCTATCTGGGAGGTAAAAACCACAGTTCAGACTGATAGACTGGGTTGAGGAAGATGAAGGCATTATGGATGAAGCCTTGTTTTCAGGCTGCATGGTGGAAGCTCTCACAGGCACAGGACCTCAGATTTGGAGGGAAGAACCTGAATTCAGTTTTGGGCTTGTTGATTTTGAGGTGTCTTTGGGATGTCCATGTGGATACAAAGGTCTGGGGTTGGGAATATAGCCCTGGTCTAAGCATATAAATCTGAGAATCCTTGGGGCATGGATGGTAGTTGAAGCCATGGGGATATAAGAACTTGCCTGAGAGACGAGAGAAGAGAGATATTTGGGGAAATGAATCTCAAGGGATTCCAGCCTTCAAAGTCCATGGAGATGAAGTGACGGTAACCCACAATGGTCACTGAGAAAAGGTAGGGACAGAGGGAAAGCAGTATAGTGTGTGACGTCCTTCTAACTGAGGGGAGTGCTCAATAGCATCTGATGCTATTAATGTCAACCACATGGGGGACCTACAAGATGTCCATCGTATATGGACACGAGGGAGAATGCTTGTGCCCCTAGTAGTAAAGGCAGAAGCTAGAGGAGTGAAGAGTGCATGGGAAGGTAGGTGTGAGACAGGATACGTGGGGCTAGGGGGGTGGTAAAGGAGTGACTTATGTAGTTGTCTTAGTTCAGGCTGCTTTAACAAAAATACTATAGACTGGATGGCTTATACGATAGACCCTCACTTCTCACAGTCTGGAGGCTGGGGAGTCCAAGAACAAGGCGCCAGCAGACCTGGTGTATGGTAAGGCACCTTAGTTTGCAGAGGTCTGCTCATTGTATTACCGTCACAAGAGAGAAACAGGAAGCAAGTTCTCTTCTGTCCCTTCTTATAAGGACAGTAATCTCATCGTGGGTCTGTAGGGGAACAAAGTTTGCCACCCCAAAATGTCTCTTTGGTGTGTGGATTACTTCGAGCTGAAAACAATCAAGGCCCGAAAGATTCTGGAAGAACCTTTGACCTGTGACCTAACTGCCTAAAAAATTTTAGATAGAGGACCTGTTCCAGGAGGGGAGCTATCAACATAGATAACTATAGTTTGAGCTAGGTGTGTAGGCAAGGAGAAACCTGGGAAGTCTGTTAAAATTTCCCTCTGTGTCCCATTGTCTCTGCATGACACAACAAACATTTATTTACCAAACAGTTGCCTTTACATCTCCATGTGAATTGCCTTCCTCCCCTTTGAAGTCCTGAACCACTACCCCAACATCCTCTTTTGTCTTTACCTGAAGGTAGTATTTAGAGTGAGGGTTTTGACTCTCTGACATACATCACAGCAAGATCCTTTTTGACCCACCTCCTGGAGAAAGGGAAATAAAAACAAAAATAAACAAATGGGACCTAATGAAACTTCAAAGCTTTTGCACAGCAAAGGAAACCTTAAACAAGACAAAAAGACAACCCTCAGAATGGGAGAAAATATTTGCAGATGAAAAAGCAACGGACAAAGGATTAATCTCCGAAATTTACAAGCAGCCCATGCAGCTCAATATCAAAAAAACAAACAACCCTAACCAAAAATGGGCAGAAGACCTAAGTAGACATTGCTCCAAAGAAGATATACAGATGGCCATCAAACACATGAAAGGATGCTCATTGCTAATCATTAGAGAAATGCAAATCATAACTACAATGAGGTATCACCTCACACTGGTCAGAATGGCCATCATCAAAAAATCTACAAACAGTAAATGCTGGAGAGGGTGTGGAGAAAAGGGAACCCTCTTGCACTGTTGGTGGGAATGTAAATTGGTACAGCCAGTATGGAGAACAGTATGGAGGTTCCTCAAAAAACTACAAATAGAACTACTATATGACCCAGCAATCCCACTACTGGGCATATACCTGGAGAAAACCATAATTCAAAAAGAGTCATGTACCACAATGTTCATTGCAGCTCTATTTACAATAGCCAGGACATGGAAGCAACCTAAGTGTCCATCAACAGATGAATGGATAAAGAAGATGTGGCACACATATACAATGGAATATTACTCAGCCGTAAAAAGAAATGAAATTGAGTTATTTGTAGTGAGGTGGATGGACTTAGAGTCTGTCATACAGAGTGAAGTAAGTCAGAAAGACAAAAACAAATACCGTATGCTAACACATATATATGGAATCTAAAATTTAAAAAAAGAAATCGTTCTGAAGAACCTAGGGGCAGGACAGGAATAAAGACGCAGACGTAGGGAATGGACTTCAGGACATGGCGAGAGGGAAGGGTAAGCTGGGAGGAAGTGAGAGAGTGTCATGGACATATATACACTACCAAATGTAAATTAGATAGCTAGTGGGAAGCAGCTGCATAACACAGGGACATCAGCTCCGTGCTTTGTGACCACCTAGAGGGGTGGGATAGCGAGAGTGGGAGGGAGACGCAAGAGGGAGGAGATATGGGGATATATGTATGCATATAGCTGATTCACTTTGTTATACAGCGGAAACTAGCACACCATTGTAAAGCAATTATATTCCAATAAAGATGTTAAAAAAATAAAGTGAGGGTTTTGGCCATTTTGGTGAGTTACTCAGTTTCCCTGGGTCTCTCCCCTGTACATTTTATTAAATTTTTGTATGATTTTCTCCTGTTAATCAGTCTTATGTCAATCTACTTCTTAGACCAGCCAGAAGAAACTAAAAGGGTAGAGGAAAACTTCTTCCTCCCCAGTAGGGCTCCACCCTCATGAAATAATCACCTCTCAAAAGCCCCATCTCCAAATTCTATCACGTTGGTCTTTAGTGTTTCAATATGTTGCAGAAAGGGGGGCCCCTTCTAGGGCCCTAGAGAGCCTAATAGGTGGACCCTCTCGTATCAGATGTATTTTACGTGGAAATACATTTAGAGCATACTATGTAGTTGTTGCCAATATACTGAACTCTTAGATCGGATCCTGTCCTACTTCTGCTTGAGACTTCTCAATTATTTTCCATTGCACTTAGAATAGAATCCTCAGTGGGGCCATGGGATCTGCTGACCTGTTCCCTACCAACCCCCCCATTATGTCAGGGCACACCTATTTCCTTTCACACCCTCACATATCCCAAGATCTTTCCCACCCCTAGTCCTTGTGTTGCAGGAAGGGACCCCTTCCAGGGCCCGAGAGTGGGCTCTTGTCTAACGCTTGGAAATGAATTGTCCGAGGAGACACACGTGCTGACAGTGCAAGAGACTGTATTGGGAAGGGGCGCCCGGGGGGAGAGCAGGAGGGGAAGGGAACCCAGGAGGACTGCTCTGCCACGTGGCTCGCAGTCTCGGGTTTTATGGGAATGGGGTTAGTTTCTGGGTTATCTCTGGCCAATCATTCTGACTCAGGGTCCTTCCTGGTAGCGCTTGCATCACTCAGCCAAGATGGATTCCAGCGAGGAGGATTCTGGGAGGTTGGGAGGACATGTGGACTGGCGTCTCCTCTCTCCTCCTGACCTTTCCTGAATTCTTCCAGTTGGTGGTAGCTTGTTAGTTCCGCGTTCCTTACCAGGACCTCCTGTTGTTAGATGACTAATGCAAGTGGCTACTATCCAGCCTGGCTAGGGTGGGTGGTTTCAATCAGTGGTTCCCCTAACAACTATGTGAATTTGGGGAAGACACAAACATTCAGTCCATAGCAAGTCATCTTCTTATTAGCCCAATGACTTGGGAAAAGGAAAAATGCCTTTAGGAAAGAAATACGAGAGTTTTTTAGGAAAGTAGGGTGGCGTTTGGTCAGGAACTCCCTCTCAAGATGGCTAAACTGAATACAGTTTGCTAAAGCTAGAGTTTTGGATTGCTTTTTCAGTTTTTTTCTAATCACCAGGAAAAAATGCATCTTATTCACTTCTGAAGCAGATCCTTCTCTTGACAATTGCATTTGGGGCAACACATGACAGCCACATCTGTCTGTCTGACAACCTTGCGGTGATACTTCACAGAAGCCTAGGATGTGGGATTTCAAATGAGTAATTTTCCTTTTGTGTAGGTTTCTTTTTCTTTCTTTCTTTCTTTTTTTTTTTTAAATTGAAGTATAGTTGACTTACAATATTAGTTTTAAGTATACACCATAGTGATTCCAAATTTTTATAGATTATACTCTATGTAAAGTTATTATAAAATATTGTCTGTATTCCCTGTGCTGGACAATATATCCTTGTAGCTTGTTTATTTTGTACGTGGTGATTTGTACCTCTTAACCCCCAACCCTATCTTTCCCCTCCTCTCTTCCCTCTCCCCACTGGTAAGTGTAGGTTTATTTATTTATTTATTTTTTCACTATCTTCCTCCAGGCTGATGAGCCCTGAAAACACACTCCTGCAGCCCAGGGAAGAGGAAGGGGTCAAGTACGAGCGCACCTTCATGGCGTCTGAATTCCTGGATTGGCTGGTTCAGGAGGGTGAGGCCACCACAAGGAAAGAGGCGGAACAGCTCTGCCACCGGCTTATGGAGCACAGCATCATACAGCACGGTGAGTGTATGGTCAGCTTTTGCTAAACCCTAAAATCTTGTGCTACGACTACAGGCTTTTATTTCTCAGTCATGGCTCTGTAAGTCAACTGTGCCTCTGCTTGGGCTCCGCTTGGCTTGTCTCCAAACTGGGGGTCACATTCAGCTATGTGTTTCATGCCTTCTCATTCTGGGACTCAGAGTAAAGGAGCATCCACTCTCTGGACTCTATTGTTTTGACAGATGAGGGCAGAAGCTAGAGAAGGCAGGCAGATTCTTGCAGCGTCTCCAAACACTTCTGCTTGGGTGTGATTTAACATTACAGCTTCATGTCCAGCTGGCTATAGCAGGTCATCTGGTCAAGTCTGGATGGGAAGTAGATGGCTCTCGCAAGGTTGGTCGCATTGGGAGAATGAAAATTCGCTGAACCATGGTTCAAGCTGCCACACTGAAGAAGTATCCAAAGGTCTTCAGATTTTCACGTTTCTTTTTAGAGCTGAATCATAATGCAATATAATGTACTGTTCAGGAACTCTATTTGTTATCTGTTGCTACATAAGAAATTACTCTAAAACTTAATGGTATAAAATAATAATAAATGTTTATGATCTCACATAGCTTTTGTGGCTCAGGAATTTGGGAGGAGCTTAGTGGGTGGTTTGGCTTGGAGGTCTCTTATGAGGTTGCAGTCAAGACATTGGCTGGGATTACAGTCATCTGACAGTTTGATAGCCTGGAGGATTTGCTCTCACAGTGGCTCACTTCTGTGCCTACCATAGAAGTGCTGGTGCGGGCTGTTGGCAGGAAGCTTCTGTCCATTGCTCTATGGACTTCTTCATAAGGCTGCCTGAGAATTCTCATGACATGGCAGCCTAGCTTCTTGCAGAGGGAGTGATCCAAGAGAATGCAAGAGAGAAGCTACAGTGTCTTTTAACTGAGCCTTGGAGTCACACACTGTTGTTTCTTCAATACTCTATTGGTTACCAGGTCAGTCCTGTTGAGTATGAGAGGACTATGTGTGTGCTAACCAGGAGGCAAGGATCACTGGAGCCATCTCAGTTCTTATGAGGCTGCCTATTGCAAGAACATAGGCTCTGGAATCCCAACTCCACCAGTGATTAGCTACTTACCTGCTCTCATCTGTAAAATGGGCATACCTGCATAGGTTGGTTGTAGGAGTACAGGTGGTAGATATAAAGCACTTGGCTCAGTGCCTTGCTCTTAATAAGTGCTCAGTCAATTTACTAATATAGCTGCAAGGTGTAGGCTTAGAACAGTGAGGAAAGGGCTGAGAACCAGATAAGCATTTCAGCCTAGGAGTCAATATGAAAGGTAATAACTTGAATCATTCTTACTGTAAACCCTCCTACCTCCACTTCTACACAGGCCTAGAATTTCTATCCCAGTGTTAGGGAGATAATAATGGAATTATTTGAAAGAAACTTTTGAAATTATTGGGAGCAGTGTTTCACAAACTGCAGATTGCAAGCCTTTAGTGGGTTTAGTGAAATAAGTTTAGGGAGTCATTCCCCCAGCGTTAAAAACATTTTTTTTAGGACAGGGAACTATATTCAGTATCCTGTGATAAACCATAATGGAAAAGAATATGAAAAAGAATGTATAACTGTCACTTTGCTGTACAGCAGAAATTAATACAACATTGTAAATCAACCATACTTCAATAAAATTTTTTTAAAAAAAGAACTACTAAGAAAAAAACTTTTTTTCATAGACTAGACTAGACTCTTAGTACTTAAAGTGTGGTCCATGGACCCACAGTGTCACCTGGGAACATGATAGAAATGCAGAATCTCTGATCCCACTGAATCTGATCTACATTTTTGCATAACCCCGAGTGATTCGAAAGCACTTTGAAAGTTTGAGATGCAGTGGATTGGATTTAGCTAGAATAGAAAATTTCAGAGCATAGTTTATGTAATAAGGTCAAGGATTGTTTTACAAAACATTTATTTCAGTTAGATATATACGATATAAACATATGACCATAGTCATGTGTGCACTGATTTGTAACATAAAAATTAGTACTCTGCATTGTGGTCAAATATTTTGAAAAGCCCCTGATCTAGAAGCATTGGTTTGCAAGGCACTCAAGCCACTCAGTTATTTTGGGGTGTTTTCTCCTAACTGATGTTGCCACAATGGCGCTTACAACTGTTTATTGACGGTCTGATATGTTTCCTGCTGGGCTATTGATTGAGGTTTGGAAGGTGGATAGAATTGTAAAATACCAGTATGGTTCCTGGCCTTAAACAGCTTATAGTCTTGTAGAGATTATAAAACGGATATAGAAGCAATTAGAGAGCAATTGAAGTTGTAGGATATAGTTTATTTATTGGTTATTTATTTTATACCATGTGCCACGCACTGTCCTAGAGATTTTACACATTAACTTATTGAAACCTCTTATACTCTTTGAGTCAGATATTCTAATTTTTGTTGTTGTTAAATTTATCTTATTGTGGTAAGAACACCTAACATGAGATCAACTCTCTTAACAAATTTTTTTAAAGTGTACGAAATAGTAACCATTAATTACAGGGCAGGTATTTTTATTATCTCCATTTTACAGATAAGGAAACCAAGGCACCAGTAGGTTAAGTAATTTGTATGAGGCCACTCAGGTGGTAGTGTCCAAATGGATATTATCGCTAATAAGTGTGAACTCAGAATTGGTTGGAGTGACTGGTGCTTTCCACCATGAAAAATGTTGTGTTTGGGTTAGAGTTAACGCTGTCATCTTTGCTCCAGACAGAAAACTTGGTGATACCAAACTCTAGAGAAAACCAGAATTTTATACTACCGTATACTGAGTGATAATGTACATCTCAACTTCAGAGAGAAAATAGAGGATGCCACAAATTGTTTCCAAATGATTTCCAAAGAGTGAGTAATTATACCTCAATTACAGTGTAATTATTATTATTTTTTTGGCTGCGTTGGGTCTTCGTTGCTGTGCAGGCTTTCTCTAGTTGCAGCGAGCGGGGGCTACTCTTCGTTGCGCTGCGCGGGCTTCTCATTGCGGTGGCTTCTCTTGTTGCGGAGCACAGGCTCTAAGCGCACGGGCTTCAGTGGTTGTGGCATGTGGGCTCTAGAGCGCAGGCTCAGTAGTTGTGACGCACAGGCATAGTTGCTCCGTGGCATGTGGGATCTTCCTGGACCAGGGCTTGAACCCGTGTCCCCTGCATTGGCAGGCAGATTCTTAACCACTGCGCCACCGGGGAAGCCCCTACAGTGTAATTTTATAATGCTTTAAACATAAATGCCATAACGTTGTGATGTAAAGGACAAAATAAGGAATTATTGTTAGCAAATCTTATCCACGGAAATTTGTTTTCCATGGTTTTAGGAGGATTGAATATTCTCTATATACAGAGTCAGAGTTTCCAAGGGAGTTCCAGTTTCCCAGCAACTCATTGCTAGATCACAGATTCTAACTTTGAGTTATGAAAACATGGCCACCACATATGTGTACGTTAGAGTTAATGATAAATACCAGCTAGTATCTTAAGCAGAGCTCTGAATTGTCCAGCTAATAATTAATTTCATAAGTTAAACATTAAAGAAAGTCAGCCTCTAGGCTTTGAGCAAAAGGTTGCTGGATAAAAGTGGTTCCCTAGCTTGAAACCAGTAGGCATAAAAATCAAGCCCACTTATGAAATCCTAACCAGCTTCATTTCTGAATGGTTAATGGTGCTCTGTAATCAGGACAGAACTTGTTAGCTGAGTAATTAACTTGCATGCAAATGTATATGTGTGTGTATATATATATATATATATATATATATAATGATATTATTATCATTATTACAGTTTTACAGTGAAGAATTCTTGAATTCAAAGCCTTTAAGATATTTTTTCAAGGTTGCATAGCTAACCGGTAGCTACTAGGCATTGTGCCTTAGAAAGGAGTTTCCGTTGGTCCAGGATGTATGTAATCGGGTGTGGCTTGCCGGGCACTGTGGAATGAACGTGGTCTTTGGAGGGAAACAGGCAGGATTTACATCCCATCTCCTTCACCTACTGTGTGACCTTGTCGACACCTCAACTCTTCCATTCCTCAGGTTTTAAAATTTATTAAATTAAAGTCATATTATATACCTTTGAGAGTTATGTTTGGTTGGTTCATTGGGTTTTTGGTTTTGCTTTTTGAAATCCTAGGACTACCCACATGTACTAGAAAGACTCAACATATGATTGGACTCGTGGCTAAGATTTTTTAATCTTAAAAAGACACAGAGAAGGATCAGCAAGGGAAAAAGACACATTGGGTGTTGTCTGGAGAAATCCAGGTGCAGGATTCCTCTGTTCTCCCTTCCAGGGCCAGGCAGAACTGGTTCCTTCTTCCAGCAGGGACATGCAGTAACACGTGTACAATATCTCTGCCCAGGGAAACCCACTTGAAACTCAGAGGGCAAGATTTTTATTGGGGGCTGCTCATAGAGGTATACTCTGCCTGCCCAGACGGCCACAGTATACTCCGTGCCTTCCAGCCACAGTATACACATGGTATACTCCGTGCCTTCCAGACTCTCAAAAGGAAAGCACGTATTCTCCATTAATTGCAGTGTTTGTGCAAACAATTTGGGCAGGCTGGTGCAGCAGAATTCAGTGTCCCAGGTAAAGCAAAGTTGCCTTATCAGACGGTAACTCAGAGAACCTTTCAAAAGCCAAGTTCCCAGAAGCTAGCCACGGGCCAGCCCCACAAGCAGGCTTTTCTGTTTCAAGGCTGCTATGGTAACTCTTTCCTGCCCAGAGCTGCTGTGAGAATTAAACGATAAAGGTGGGCAAAAGCTTTTAGCAGAGTCTACCTCTATGGCTCTCAAATGCCAGCTATTGTACTTGATCTGATCAATTCTAAATAACAATTAAAATGTACAGAGTCCCTACTATATGCCAGAAACTGTTCTAATCACTCTACATTTACTCCTTTAAATAACTCTATGAGTTAGGTATCATAATAATTCTCATTCTTAAAATGAGGTTAAGTAACTTGCTGAAGAC